AAAAGGAACAGTGATAAAAGTCATATAATAAATGATAACAAGTAAATAAATAAGAATAAAATAAGTGAAAGTTAAAATAACAAAAGAATAATGAAAATAATAAAATTCGAAATAACATAAGTCAAAATAATGAAAAGCAAATTAATAAACTCCCAAATAATAAAAATAAAAGCAATAATAAGCCCCAAAACAATAATAATAGTAAAAATCAAAATAAGGAGGGTGCTGAGGCGCTGGCACAGGGTGCCCGGAGAAGCCGTGGCTGGCCCATCCCTGGCAGTGTCCAAAGGCATTGGAGCAACCTGCTCTAGTGGAAGGGGTCCCTGCCCGTGGTGGGGTTGGAGCTGGAGGAGCTTTAAGGTCCCTTCCAACCCAAACCATTCCATTAAATCTTAACCCCTCCTGCCCATCCAGTCAGTCCCTTGCTCAGCCTCACTCTGCCTTTACATACTCTGTGCTGAGCTGGTGTTTCCCCCTCTTCGTGTGACAGATCCCTCATGTCACCTCCTCCAGGTCCTCGAGCATCTCAGGGTAGTTTGAAACAAAAGAGCTCTCAAGACATCACTGTAGCAGCAGTGAGGGAACAGTTCCTCTGCTGGGGATGGTATTCATGACCTTACAGCTAAAGCAGCTAAAGGCACATCCTCCTCCCGCCCGGCTCCCTGCCTCCTGCCTCATTTGAGGGAAACAGCTCAAGTGGAGAAGTTGCTAATGCGGGCACACACCTTTCTTTGATCTTCCTAATGAAAAACCAGACCGTGTTAGAATATGTATTAACAGGCCCAGTATTAAACATGACTTTGCACGGGCTGTGAACATGGGAAGTGCTATTACTGCTGTCAGTGCCAGCGGTAGCCGTGGTGACCCAATTAATGTGATAGGGAACACGGCAGCGCTGCTGAGCCCAGTATTGAACTCCCAGGTTACTTTACATGGGCTGTAATTCCCGGAGCAGACAGGCCCGAGGAGAAGCTGTTTCCCACAGACATCCCAGGAGAAGCTCCAGGATGGAGAGTTTCAGTGACCTGGTTAAGATGGTATCAATAGATTCACTGATGTGATTTAAATTAATGGGGGGAAAAAGGCAGATCTGATACTACAGGTTGCTGGTAATGAACGGGTCAGTGGGGCCAAGGCTGATGTGGCTGTTACACAGCTAAAGGGATTTATCTTAGATGCTGCGAGGGCTGGAGCAGCTCTGCTCTGGAGCCAGGCTGAGAGAGCTGGGCTGGGGCAGCTGGAGAAGAGAAGGCTCCTGAAGGGGACACCTTAGAGCAGCTCCAGGGCCTAAAGGGGCTCCAGGAAACCTGGAGAGGGGCTTTGGACAAGGGATGTAGGGACAGGCCAAGGGGAATGGCTTTAACCTGCCAGAAGGGAGACTGAGATGAGCTCTTGGGCAGAAGCTCTTCCCTGTGAGGGTGCTGAGGCGCTGGCACAGGGTGCCCAGAGAAGCTGTGGCTGCCCCATCCCTGGCAGTGTTCAAGGCCTGTTGAAGGGCAGGTTGGACACAGGGCCTTGGAGCAACCTGACATAGTGGAAGGTGTCCCTGCCCGTGGCAGGGGCTGGAGCTGGGCGAACACCCAGTTTTAACCAGTTAACCTCTGCAGTGGAGAGGAAACCTCCTCACAAAGTCCTGCCCCTCTCTGCAGGTGACCAGAGCACGCTGAAGAGGAGCCCTTGAGCCGGCAGCAGCACGTTAGTACGGGGAGTTGCAGAACAGCCGTGACTGACCAGGGTTTGAGAGGCAAAGGTTAAAACACGAGAGCAAGCCGAGATCCCCGAGCACTTCAGCAGCTGTGTTAATCAGGAAGCAGTGCAGAGGAGATGCTGAATTCAGAGCTGAAGTGAAGGCAGAGTGAGGCTGGAGGAACTCTGCAGAGCTGCAGCCCTGCTCTGTGCTGCGGGATGGGGCACTGGTCGTGTGTGACGGGTCACAGAAACCCCTCTCTGGACATTCATCTTAATGACATGTTAAAGGACCTCACTAGTTAAATAAATGGTGTTTGATGACATTATCCTGTGTATAAAGGGCGAGCAGGGAGGTTTGCTGCTGCACAGGACATGGTGGCAGCTCAAACCTGAGCTTGCTGTGCCAGCAAGGCCAGTGGCCAAGCGCTGCTGGGACTCTGCAGATCTGGATGGAGTAAATGACTTCAGTCACTTTAAGCTGCAGAAGCACATGAAGCAATACTTTACTTCCAGCTTTTCCTATAGTTTTATTGTCCCCTGGCCATGTCCGTTCCCTACAAGCCACAGGGCACTTGCAAACTATCTTGCTTGAGGCTGTCCCATCCCACCTATGGTGGGTACTGCAAAATTCCAGCATCAAGATCTTGAAATACATGGTTATCCCCAGTATAAATAGGAAAAAGAAACCCATTAACTACTCACTTCTGGCCCTAGCATCCTATGTATGTGATAGGGAATCTCTAATCAGGGTCACAGAGGTCTCCAGCCTGGAAATAAGCTTTTAAGACCAGGGAAGTCCATGAGCCGAGGAGCACGTACAGCATCACACCAACACTGCCCTGGGGAGGGGGGATACAAAACCCAAGGTGCAGCCTGACGCTGGTAGTTTGGACAACAACAGCTCCTGGCTGGAGCAGGAGGAGGATGCGCGGAGCCGAACCCGCTCGCCCAGGAGCACCCAGGAGCACCCCAGCAGGAGGAGATGCTGATACACACCTGCACGGGCCGCACCAGTCCGTTTGTTGGTTGAGGCCAAAGCGAGCTCTGCATTTCTTAGGAGAGGCAGGATCTGAACACAGAAGCATGCGTGGCGGAGAATGGGCAAGGCAGAGGCACAAAGAGGAGGAGGAGCAGGAGGAAGAAAAGAGGCAACGTCATTTTAGCCACTTGAACACACAACTAAGACTACAATCCATGATTCTGTAACAGAATGGAGCCAGCACCACCTCTCCTGGAAAAAAGTGATTGTTAGGCAGTATCAGTGATCACTGCTGGCAGCTGGGGAAGGAGGGCTGGGAAATGGCCTCAGCTGTGGGAAATATGGGCAACTGCAGGGAAATGGATGGCTCTTCACATTTCTGAAGTCTGGAAAAGCGGCCAGATCCCAGAGGTGCTGCCTGCCTCCTGTGTCTGCATCCTTACCTGCTCCCTGCCTTTCCAGCAGCGAGTAAACAGGGCTGCCAGCGAGCTCAGACTGTGCATGGAAAAGAAGAGGAGGAAAAGTTGCAGAAGCAGGCTGAAAGCAGAGTTAGCGCCAAGGAGACCCAGACACGGGTTATTCTACTGTGCCCCCACCATTCCCCTTCCAGTTTTAATGGAAGAACTATTCCCCGTGGCCTTTCCTAAAGTGTTGCAGTTTTACTGCATAATTATGGGCTCATCATGGTTTTTCTCTAGTGCTGTAAATGGGATTTGAACAGCACATCTCAGTGCTGGACTCACACTCCCTCCTTCAGCCACCACCAGTGTCTCCTGTTGTGTACAACCAGCAGCTGGTTTTCAATCCACAACAGGTGAAATGATCATTTCACAGGCAAGAAATAGATGGATGCTCCCCGTGTTCTGATTCAAACATGTCCATAAAGTAATAGAAATGTTAATTTACTGCATTTTAAAAGAATAAATACATGTGTATTTCCTTTGTTAAGCTTGGGAGAAAGAAAACACGGTAAAACATGACAACTGCTTTGGATTATCCCCTGTGAGTGGGTAATGAAGGGACAGCCCCTGAGCCACGTGAGTTTACCTGAGTTGGAATCTTGCTGCTTTTCCCGTGTTCGTCTCTTCTTCTTCCCCTAGGGAATCAAAGGGAAGGCTGTTAGTCCATGCTCCAAACTGAGGGTGCTGCACAGGGTTTTGGGGCTGGACTGGGTTGCTGAGGAAAGCTGCTGCTGCCTTTAATGTGGTGCCTTACACCCAAACAGAAGTTGCTCCATAACATAACCAGCAGCAGCATTCCACATTTCCAATAGGAAAGAAAGCTTTGGGAAATCCCCAGAAATTAACATTTAAATACTACTTCTCTATTTCAGTCATCTTTCATTCTTCTTTCTCACCTCACTAACAAGAAGCCCCAGTTTTCTCCCCAAACTGCCTCTGATTCACAATACAAAACAACTCCCCTCATCTCCTCATGACTTTACCATGAGGACAGAGCAGCACAGGAGCAAATGTGGCCTGTGTGGAGCAGGCAGCTCACAGGGCTGCCTTTGACCTCTGACTCTGTATATGACTTCTTGTGGTTTGAGTGAAGGTGGAAAGCTCTGAGCTGCGGTGAGCTTTTTCTTCAGTGTGGGAGCAACTGTACTTCCTGCCCGATATCCGCATCACGTGCTGCACAAGTGACCTACATTCCTCCTCTTCCTTCCTGCTCGAGCTCCAGGGAGAAAAGCATCTCTTACAACAACCACAACATCCGAAGCAGCTTTTTGCCAGTGCTGGGAGAATCAATGTGCACCTCTGGAGCCCACCATCCCGCTCCATCTTCTGGAGCAAGGAACCAGCCCCTGCCAAGATGAAGGATGCTACGGGATGGAGATTTCTATAGCAGGAGTGCTTGATCTTGGAGGAAGATGGTGCCTTGCTCTCAGTGATGCTGCTGCCCTCCAGATGTGTGCCCACCGATGCTGCCACCTTTGGTGCTGCTCTGGTTTCTCTAAGGGCAGCTCTGGAGGGCAGCAGCATTCAGCACTGATCCTGCAAAGCTGCATACGGATGCTGAGCTTCTGCTTTGTGCTTGTAAGGAGGCAGGGACATCTGTGCTGCTGCAGAGAAATGCAGTCCCATAACCTCTGCTGGTTTCTCTAAGGGCAGCTCTGGAGGGCAGCAGCATTCAGCACTGATCCTGCAAAGCTGCATATGGATGCTGAGCTTCTGGTTTGTGCTTGTAAGGAGGCAGGGACATTGTGCTGCTGCAGAGAAATGCAGTCCCGTAACCTCTGCTTTTTCTGCATCATCTCTGCCCTCTTTTTTGGGGGTGTTTTTGGTCTGTTTTGGCCTTACCAGGGACAGGCGGGTTGTTTGGCAAACAGCAGTTGTCAGCCCCCCACCCCGGGTCACTGCAGCCCATGCCGTGGCGAGGGGACCCGACCACAGCAGCCACTCCTTTCCTGGCGAGCCAGTTCGTAGTACTTGGCCTGCTCCTCCCGGGACAGCGCGTGCCACTGCAAGGACAAGGACAGTGAGACATGGCCCCACTGTCCCCTCCCAGCCCGTCCCACCGCGGCCGCCCAGCTCCGGAGCACATCCGACTCCGTGTGTTGAAGGGATAAGAGCACCCAGTTTTGAAAGCAAGATGATTGTTCTGTGCTTAAGATCAGCTGCAAGGGACGGGGATGCTGCACTGGGATGGGCTGAGCCCCACGTGTCCTTACCCTCCGTCCCAGGATCTGGTTGATGGCAGCACTCTCTTTCAGGGTGCACTCGGCAATGACTTTCGCCCGCATTTCTTTCATATACAACATGAAAGCATTCAGGGGCTTCTTGATAGTGGGCTTCTTGGCTTCCTTCTCTCTCTTTGGTTCTGGTTGAGGTTTCCTTGGTGGGATCAAAGGAAGAGCTGTCAGCATCAGAGCCACCCTCCAGCCTGGCTGCCTGGTGGCACCAAGCTCAGCAGAAGACTCAACACCAAACCAACCTGCTGGGGGGGCCTGAGATCTGCACCCTGGACATGTGCTGTTGCCTGATGCAGGCAGTGCTCAGTGTTCATCCACCCTCCTCCCCATGCAAGCATTAACAGTGATAAATTAAATGGGTATTAAGGAATTAATGTGTTGAGCCCCCCTGGCTCAACTTCCAGCTTCTCAGGGGAGAGCTTGTAACAGTCTTCCAGTAACTAAAAGGGGCTGACAAGAAACCTGGAGAGGGTTTTTTTACAAGGGCCTGTAGGGACAGAACAATGGGAATGGCTTGAACCTGCCCGAGGGGAGATTGAGATGAGCTCTGAGGCAGAAGCTCTTCCCTGTGAGGGTGCTGAGGCGCTGGCACAGGGTGCCCAGAGAAGCTGTGGCTGCCCCATCCCTGGCAGTGTTCAAGGCCAGGTTGGACACAGGGGCTTGGAGCAACCTGCTCTAGTGGAAGGTGTCCCTGCCCGGGGCAGGGGTTGGAGCTGGAGGAGCTTGAAGGTCCCTTCTGACACAAACCAGGCTGGGGTTCTATGAGCTTACATGTTCCGGTCATAGTGCTCCATGTCTTGCTTGCCGGAGTGGGGCACGATGGCGGGGTGCGGGATGCCGGTGGTGTGCATGCCAGAGCCCAGCACCAGCGGGTGAGTGAACCTGCAACAGAGAGCGGATGAGCCGCGCCGGGAGGGCTGTGCGGGGAGCGGGGAGCGGGGTGCTGGGTGCTGGGTGCTGGGAGCAGCGTCTCACGAGGTGGCACTGTGACGAGGCAGAAGCAGACGGTAAAGCCAAGGACATGGAAAGCAAACCCTCGAGCGCTGCGGCGCTGGTGCAGGGCAGGCAGCTGCCCACCAGCCCTGGGTTGCCCCCACTGTTGGAATGGGGCTGGAAAGGGTCCGGGTGCTGCCACAAGGAAACCAGCCTGAGCAGGAGCCAGCCCCACCGAGATCAAGGGCGCTTTCAACCAGCGGTTTCAGATCTCTGTTGTTGCAATATCTTATGAGCACTGCAGAAAGGAACAACAAACTCAACCCAGCTTTGGATGGGAGAGATTAGGACCACCCTGCACCTTTCTTTTAACAGAAGTAGCATAAGTCTGAACATGAACCAAGCTGCAACTCTAGGAGGTGCACCTTCCCTAAGCAACGCTCTCCACCGACACGGGACTGAGATCATGAGAGGTCTCGCTAGCTTTCAGGCTTCATTAGCTCTCTCTCGAGTTTCAGAGGGTAAAGGCAGCGCAGTCTCAGCTTTGCCAAGCTTGCCACGTTATGACTGCAGCTAGAGATGGCAGAATTGCCCATGGGAGATGAACTGTTCGTTAGATATGCTGGCACGGAAAGAAAAGCTGTTTAATTGACTCCACCAGCACAGTCTGATCCTTATCTCACCAGGTGTACTTTCAGGGCTGCAAAACCCATCCCAAGATCCTGCAAGCAGGAGCTCCTGTGCTGGGCTCGGGGAAGCTCATATCCTCCACAGGGAACCAACCATTAGCTCCTCTCTAGCCTTCAGCTGGGCAAAGCAATGCCCCAGCGAGGAAGGAGGGCTGGCAGCGCTCCCTCGGCCTCTGCTGCAGGGCTAAGGGCTTGCCTGGATCCAGGGATGCATGGATGGAGGGGTTTGCATGGCTAAGGGCTTGCATGGTTTTCCTGCGGGAAACCTCCGCTAATGGCTCTTGAGGACAACACAAAGCAGAAGCAAAAGCTGCTGTGTGAGCACGCACGGTGCTGCTCACTGGGACATCACAGGGTGCTGGGTGTATTTACAGAGGGCAAAATTTGGTCCTGGGTGACCATACACTTGCAGTGTGGATGGTGCAGGGCTGTGCTACGTGGCTCAACCCACCCACTATTGAAGGCAGGTTGTGCTGCAGGGCCAGCTCCTTGCGGGGGGGAGCAGGGCAGCTCCTGCTGACCCCTTCCCATGGCCACATCAGCCCTTTCCATGCCCGGTGCTGCACTTCAGTCCCAGAGAACTGACTCGTGCTGATGGGGGGACAGCAAATCGCTGCCCGCTGCCTGTCCTGCTTCTTAGGCTGAGAGCAAGTAAAACAGATGGGTCCCTGCAGAGCAGAACTCATCAGTGGTGGTGGCAGGATTAGGGTTAGTGACAAGGAGCAAACTCCGGAGCAACAGATTTCGCCCTGTTTTCCCAGTGCTGAGCTGAAGGCAGGGGTTTCTGCTTTGCTTTGACTTGTGCTGTTTAAAACCCAATCGTTGTGCATCCTCCTGGGATGCTCCATGTTCCCCTGAGCACCCTCTGGAGCAGACAGTGCCCCAAAGCTCCTTCTCTTCCCACGGCTGCCGCGGGAAGTGCATGGCCGTGGTGTGCTGCAAGCTCCTAGTGCACACACTGCAAGCTGCGAGCCGGGCCGAGCTGCTGCCCTGTCTCACACAGCTCATACTCACCTGGAGAAAGAAGCCCCAGCAGAAAGCGCTGACGAATACGGCTGCCTAAATCCACATGACGGGAGCGGATAGACAGACTGGCTCTGCCTGGGATCGGGAAGAAAGAGTCTATAAAGTATCCACAGCTACGTGGTGTCTCCTAAAGAGTCTCTTTGCTAAGGGGGCTCGGAGCACCAATGCCCCAGCTCTGTCTGGTGGGATGCTCCTGGTGTCCCCTGGGCTCAAAGGGCAGGGCTTGGACTTCAGTTAGGGAGAAGCTGGTCCTCCCTGCAAAGATGGGCTCCAACTCTGACCCCCCCTCCATCCCCGATGCAGTAACACCACCACAGCACTGAGCTTATCCTGTTAAAATGCAGAATGCAGAGGTGTGCTGAAGGATTAGGAGACGTGGCTATCACACTGAAGAAGTTGCTTAAAAGCACAGTTTGAGCAAAAAGCCTGGTCAGAGCCTCTCTCTCTGTGGTGCACGAGAGACTGCAGAGTCATGGGCTGCACCAGGAGGATGCCCAAGTGCAGGAATGGAGAGTAAGCACCTTGCACGTGCTTTATAAATGCTCTGATTCCCCCAGCACATCGTTTAAGGGATGCCCATCATTTTCAAACCTGCCAAAACCTCAGTCCTACCTTTCTTTTCAAAGTCATTTCATAGTGGGCACCAGGCTTCTACCAGACTGGAGCTGGAAATGATTCTTGAGATAGTAAAATAACCATGCAGGAAGTTCCCTGTTGTTTCCAGCAAGGGAACCCCCCTTGTTTTCATATGGAGATAGCTCAGAAATACCTGGGCTTGTTCTGCAAACCCGCCAGAAGATGCTCCCAGCCTAAAACTGTGCATAGAAACTGGGGTGCCCAAGGAGGGCGTGATGGGGTGCTTAAATCCATGCTGATGCTCGTGCTCCTTTGGCCAGCCTGCACAGAGCTGTGCTTAAGACCAGCTATTTTCAGCTGTAATAAGCAAAAAAAACCCCACCGCATTATCATTAAGTGCAGTGCCCTGCAACGAGCTCCTGGATGCCAGGGATTTTTCAGGGCTAAAGATAGTTTCTGCCCTGAAGAGGAATAACGACAGGCCCTTGAGCTTTGCTGGGGAGGAGGGTTTCTGTTTGTGCTGCTCCGGGAGCTGCTGTGCCTTGGCTCGAGCGGGATCTGTGTGCAGGAAAGGCAGCGAGGTGGTGTTTACACCCTGCCAGGCAGGAGCCCTCTCCCACCCCTTAGATGTCGGCGGGTATAAACACACCAACAAACAGCCAAGTGCTACCCTGCATCGGGAAACTAAATACCCTTTGAAGTCAAAGGCGGCTGCCCCAGGGCTGAGAAAACACTCGGAGCTCATCCAGAAGCGACACACGTTACTGCAGAGCCGGGATGCAGGGATAGAAAAGGGCACTCGCGGCTTCTTCCAGCGCGAGGCTGACGTGCAAATGAATGCAACTGCAAAACCAGCCCCTAATGGTTGGGAATGCGTGATCACAGCCCGTGTCACCCGGTGATGGGAGGGGAAAAAGACACGGGATGGCCATGGAAGGGCTCCAGTGGCATTGCCACCGCTCGGAGAGGGCGAGGGACACGGTTCACAGGCTCCTGGGTGATGTTTGCTGCCAGGCCCCTGTGAGCAGAACTCACTCGGCTGGACTCAAAGGCTTTTATCCGACTGTCATCCCAGCTAACTACAGAGACTGACTGCAGCTCCTCCTCCCGAGTGCTCAGTGAGGACAAAACCCATTTCTGACCAGATCCTGGAGGAAAAGCTGCTTCCCGCATGTGGCAAAGGCACAAGCATCCCCAGCACAGCCCCTGTCACCCGCTGCCTGGGAGCCAGTGCTGCCACCACCCCTGCCATGCTTTGGTGCTTCTGCACCCAACCACGCTGAGCCTCAGCTGAGGACTGGGCACCTCAGGAGTGGTTTTGGGGCTCTCCCCATAAATCTGGGGCAGGCAAAGGGGTAAGCACAGGCTCTATTACACACACATGTGCTGCCCTCTGCTCCGTCAGGCCATTGGCTGCTTTACTGTGCCTGCTCTATTAGTCACTACTGAACGTGTCTGACGAGGTTGCTTGAGGATGCCAAACCCCGGCGATGCCGGAGCATGAAAACTCCCTCTGCCACCAGCCGACCAACAAAACGCCTGTGCAAACCAGGCTTCCTTCCCAGGGCTGCCCCGACCGCATCCCACCCCAAAAGTGGACCTTGCATTTGGCAAACAGGCTCTTTTCTCACCCCCAACTATTGCTTTCATGTTAGAGCACAGTCACCCCAGTACTTGTTTTTCCTGAGGATGAATCACATCGTATGAGGAGTTAAATCATCGCCCAAGAGTAGCAGATTTAGCACAGAAGGCAAAATGTAATCTCTTTGAAGCCAAACTCTGTATCAAAGGCCTCAGCCTCTGTTTCCTTGTGGTTAAATATCTGGAACATGAAATTCATAAACAAAACAAACCAAAAAGCTAACATTTTACTTCGTGTCTTGATGCGCTTCGCCTCTCCCATCTGCAACATCTTCTTGTAGCTGAAGGCCTCTGCTGGGCTTCGCTGGGGATCTGCCTGCCTCACAATCACCTTCCACATACTCTCCCCCTGTCCTGGCCACCCCAAATCGCTGCCTGCAGCCACCAGCCTCCCCACGAGCCTCTGCAAGGTCCCTGCGTCACTGATGGGTGCTCAAAATACACCTGAGGAGTGACGATGCCCACACGGCAGCACCCACCAGACCCGGTCCCTCCATGTCTTTACCATCATGGGGACACAACCCAGGGGCAATGACCACAGAGCACAACCTGATGTACTCTGAACTCACGGCCCTGAGGCAGGTTTCCCAATGAGCTCTGCTTTGTGGGATGCTCCTCAGGGCTGGCCCATGCAAGGGGGATGTTTTGGGAGTGCTCCAGCTCATTGTCCCTCCTTCCCTGTTCCCCCTGGAGCAGCGGGTGCCACCGAGCTGGCTGTGCTGTGGGTACCAGGGCAGTTTGCCTGGTCTCTACCACAGTGGTTTTCCCCCTGTGTGTCAGGCTCCGAGAAGCACTGTGGCTCAGCCAATGGAGCATCCCTCTGGATTACAGTGTGCCAGTGGCATGGTCAGGAAAAGCACTGTTTGTGCTGAAAACCCCAGTGAGGAGAAAATGACCTCCTACTCAGAAAGAGAGGCTTTTGTGTGATTAAGAGAGGTGGGTAGGAAGCTCTCCTGGGTTTCCTAATCCGCGCAGGCAGCTAGATGTAAGGCAGGAGACAGTTTTGATTCAGGCAGGTTGTAATCCTGCTCCAAGCACTCCCCAGCTGGGACAACGCCTTCAGCCCCTCCACAGATCTACTCCCCATCTCCAAAACGACTCTAAATCTTCTTCCCCACCATGCAGCACACAGGAGGGATGGAGCCGGGTGAAAGCACCTTGGAGGATACAGAGAATGGCTGCACATATTTGTTCCCCGCACGGAGCAGCCAGTGGGGCTGGGGCTGAGCCCCCGCACTCACCATCCCATCGACGGTGTGATCTGTCCGACTCCACCAGGAGGGAGGGGGTAGAATCCAGGGATGTCTGAGGTCTGGGAAGGACGGTGCACTCCTGGGAGAAGGGAGAAGGAAGTGAGCTGGACCCAGCACCGTGTTCCCCGGCTGACCCGAACGGCTCCCGAACCCCTGGCTGATCCATCTACGGGCACTTGTGGGCAGCAGGGAATGTATGGGAAAGAGCTATCTGCAGGCAGCAGGATATTGTAATTGCCCTTTTTATAGCTGTGGTTCTCTGTGTGGGGATGTGGTGGGTCATCCATGTTGCTGCAGAGTCACAAACACTCATGTAACAGAATAGAGAAGGCAGCTTGCTCCTGCACAAGCATCGCCCCTGCTCCCTGCCACGCTGAGGCCAAGCAGCAGCTTGGTGTGGTAAGGATTTGATGGACTCCAGCCATCCCTCTGCCCTTCCAGAGAGCCTGTTCAGGGGCATAACTGATGGTCAAAGCTGTTCCTACACTCCCCTCAGTCATCACCTTCCTTCCCATCTGTCATCCCCAGGAGTGCTCAGTGGGGATGCTCCAGCAGCATCGCTGCTCTCTCCATTCTAAAGCAGGAGTCCTTGTTCAAAGCAATCACCTCATGGGCTCTGTGGGTGCCAAGTGGAGGTGGGTATGGTGCCAGCTGGGAATTCACCCTTCCCAAGGGGAATCCCTGTGTGATCTTCAAAGCTGCTGGCACGGGTGGCATGGCCAGAGGAGACAGCCACAGCTTCTATTTGGACTTGAAAACAGCCTGGGGGCTGTGGGTGGGACTCAGACAACCAGTAAAAGCAGCCTCCAGCTAAGCCCCACACTGGAAAACTGGAGCTGGAGCTGAGCTCTGCTGCAGCATCCTGTAATGCTGACAGCTACAGAGCCTCTAGAAAACATCCTGTACACAGACTGTTCAGCAGCTGTCCTGAGCAGTAAATGCATCGGATAAATGGGTGAGTAGCTGCAAGCAGTTTAAGCCTGGGTTATTCTCCAGGATGTATTAGTGATAAATTATGACTTAGGAATGACACCAGCAGATTCCAAGCATCTTATTAGGAGGTAACTAAAATAAATATATAACTAAATAAATATATAACCAAATTGAAAGGAATATGAATATTGAAAGGAATATGAATAGCATGCGATTTATGTACAGCTGTGCTCAAGTGGGATGCAGCAGCCCACTGAAGGTCAGACAAAACCAGCCTCCACATTAGGCAGCTGCCAGGATTTCCTGGGATTTGCACCTCCAACAAGTTGTGTGAGCCAGAGCACCAGTTCTTCTCGCTGGCCCAGTGGCTGGGCACCAGCCACTGACTCAGAAGATCCTGCTTGTATTTCCTTGTCTGCGTGTCCTTGGGCTACTGTGAAATACTTTAAAGAGCTGCTGGGAGAATGAGTAGATGGTGACTCGCAAGAGTTTACACTGGGTGATAATGGGAGATATTTCAGGGATGAAAACAGAGATGGGACACATCCAGAATGAGTGGGGAAGGAAACCCTCACCCCAGCAGTGCAGGGATGGGGCAGGCAAAGTTATCAAGCTGCACCACAGAGGCAGGTCCCAGCTGAGGACGATGGTCTGAACCTCTTCACAAATAGGACTGGGGATGTCTCTGGAATGGACAGACTCCCCCTGCCTCTGTAAAGGTACAGGACAAATGGAAAAGGGGAGACTGGAAAGAAAACCAGGATGTGCCTGGGTAGCTCTTACACTGGACCTAAATCTTCACCATCAGCATCCCTGATGAGTCCAGGACATGGCCTCTGGGTTCAGACCAGGGATAATTCAGCACGTCCTTCAGCCAAGAGCATCCTCACTCCCCACTGTTTTACCAGCGACATTAACTCATTGAAGCTGATGTCTCTGGGACAGTTTGGATCCAAACCTTTGCCTTTGCCTAAATCACAACTGTTGGTTTTATGCCTCTGTTTTCACACTGATTTCTGGGCTCTGATGGGCCCTGAATCCCTTCCTGAATGTACTTTGACACAAACCCATGTATTCACCTGCTTTCACATGAAATCAAGACCAGGTCTGTGCAGAAACCTGGGTAATCTGAACAGATGCTGAAAGATTCCATCACACTAACGTACGCTTGAGCCAAGTTTGATTTTAGACTCAGCTTGCCAGTAACCCATGAAGAACGATGGGCTGGGGTGAATTCCTGTGCACTCACCTGTAATTCACAGTTCAGGGTTTAACCTCGACCTACTGTGCTTTCCTCTGCAGTTGATGTGTCCTGGACTCGCACAGGAACCCAAAGAGCCAAGCTGTGTGACAACCACCTAACGTGTGGCTATGGACACACACACGTAGTGATCCAGTCAGCTATCAGGCACCCATCCTATTTAGTTAAAATATTTCCTGCTTCAAGCATTTGTTTTCTCAAAATGACAACCTGACAACAGTTTGGGTATGAGTCAAAGGAAAGATTACTTTCCATTTTCTGGTTGAGTCTTACGCATCATCTCGCAGGCTCTGGTCTGGTCCCAAGCTACAGGACAGCCTGCACTGAGAACTGAGCACACTTCACAGCAGCAGGGCTGGGGTTTTCATGCTGAACTCCTCATGACCAGGATTACAAAGCACTGCCAATGAGCTGAATAAACTCTTAGTGCTGAGCAATGCCCCAGCTGACCAGAGCTCTTGACTTTCCCCATTGATTTGGGAGCAGGAAGGTGAGGGCCTTGGTCTCAGTGGCCTCCAGCACTGTCCCCCTCCCACTACACCAGCGCCCAGCGGTGCCATTACCTTGCTTCTGGTTGATGTCAGCAGGCAAGTGGGGCGAGTGGGAGCCGTGGCTGAAATGGTCGTTGCTGTAAGGGATGAGCGGGGTGAGCGGGTGGACTCCGTGCGAGGGCTGCACGACAGGAACCTTGTTGGACTGCAAGACACAAGGAAGGAGAGGGCTCAGAAGCTGCTGGGCTCCGTGAGCAAGTCCTGTTGGTGCAGATGAGGCTGGGAATTACCAGAAGTCCCCAGTGACTCTAGTCAAGGCAGACAGTGGCCTTGCCCACTTAAATAAACACCATAGCATCCTGCAAGAAAAACCCAGAAATGGAGCAATGACAGCAGCTGAAGGTGATTGCATGGGTAGGGGGAAACCAGCTCCAACCATAGAATCCCAGACTGGTTTGGGTTGGAAGGGACCTTAAAGCTCCTCCAGCTCCAACCCCTGCCCCGGGCAGGGACACCTTCCACTAGAGCAGGTTGCTCCAAGCCCCTGTGTCCAACCTGGCCTTGAACACTGCCAGTGGTGGGCCAGCCACAGCTTCTCTGGGCACCCTGTGCCAGCGCCTCAGCACCCTCACCGGGAAGAGCTTCTGCCTCAGAGCTCATCTCAATCTCCCCTCGGGCAGGTTCAAGCCATTCCCCCCTTTCAAAACATTTCCAGTATCTTCTATTCCAGGAGGAATGCTACAAGCATGATACCCAATGCATTGCTATTGTTTTCTCCCTTGTGCTACCACAGGGTCTAAACCTGGACTTTCACATCCTGCACATTCACTCCGAAAGCCACGCTTGGGCTTTCCTAACCGGGACTGGGAGGCAATGCCTTTGAGAACGGGACGTGCTCACCCTTGGGCTCAGATCCCCATGGGTCCAAGCTCTGGGAGGAGGACTGGAGGGAGCTGAAGCAGCGCTGGGGATGTAACAAACCTCTTTGCAGCTACTCCTGGTTACACACGGCGAGGCCGTTGGGACCCAACATTGTTGTAAAAGGTGCTTTTTGGTGAGCACAATGGGGAGTATTTCTGTCTGCTGGAGCAGAAAGGGGGGAACTGCCCAAAAGAGCTGCACAGCTGTAAGGAAAACACACACACATGCACACACACACACTCACACGCTGCTCTCTCTGCCAGCCTCCTCGCCTCCAGCGTCTCAAGCTGCTCCCTACATGCCTGGTTTCGCCCATGGTTGCCTTTAAACCCAAACTGGCTTTGCCTTGGTGGTGGAATGTTAGGATTTGTCCCAGATAAATCCAGAAAGAGAAACAGCACTGACAGCATCCCAAAATGGGGACAGAACGAGAGCAGACCAGGTAAATCAGCTCTGCAGGGGCTCCTGGTACTGCTGGGCAGACCTCTTGTGTCCCACCAGGACATCTACAGATGATCTGCTGAGTGAGTTTTGACATGTGGTTTATAAAAGGAAGACTACGAAATATGTGGGCCCTTTCTGGAAGGAAACGAGAGACCTTGTTACCCCTGAGAAGGCTGAGTTACTTTTTGCCCCAGTCTTTACCAGCAAGAGCTCCAGCCACACTGGCCAAGCCACAGAAGGCAAAGGCAGGGACTGGGAGAATGGAGAACAGCCCGTTGTAAGAGAAGATCAGGTTTGAGAACACCCAAGGAACGTGAGATGCACAAGTCCACAGGACATGACAAAATGTATCTGCAGTTCCTGAGGTAGTTGTGGATGTATCTGCTAAGCCACCGTTCATCATACCTGAGAAGTCGTGGCACATGGAAACTAAGGAGGTGATTGGTGACATCCAACCCAAACCATTCGGTGATTCTGTGATCTGCCTGGGCTTGTGCAAAGCGTTTGACACTGTCCCACAGGACATCCTTGTCTCTAAACTGGAAAGACATGGATTTGGCGGATGGACCATTCAGGGGATAAGGAATTGGCTGGATGGTTGCACTCAGAGACCTGCAGTCAGCAGCTCCATGTCCAAGTGGAGACCAGTGACAAGCGGTTCTATGATCTCTGGGCTTGATTCACTGGTGCCTATCCCTTCGGTAATGGTTCTGCTCAGGCAGAGTGAGCACAAAACGCCAGTTGGCTGTGGTGGAGGTGGAGCAGCCAGAGCTAATGGCTCTGGAGGACCTGTCCTGGACCTCTCCTTGCTGCTCCGAGTTGCTTGCACAGCAGCAAGAGAGCCCTGGGCAAGTCCTACGTTTTGCATCCTTGCTCCAAGGAGGAAATCCATGAAGAGGAAAGGAAAACAGACCGATGGAGACGCTGCTTTACATCTGTCTTTCCCACAAAGGCTGCTCATGCAAATAAAAACCAAGAGGCGTGAAGGTTTGCATTTAAGAATGAATGAAAACCTTAATCCCTGATGCTTACCAGGTGTAGATTTACTGTGTACAGCGGGATGCTGGGAATGTGACCCCCCTCCCCAGCACAACCTGGTGTGGTACAGGCGTTCCTGTCCTGCAGCAGGGCCATGGGCTATGTGGGTTTCCCATCAAGAGCGGCTCTGGGTTGGTTCCTGCTTAGTTAAATACATGTTTGGAGCTCTGAGCTTTTACTGTTCTTGCCCATGAAATGAGATGAAGAATGGCTTTTCAGTGATATTTCTAAAATTAGCCGTGGTTTAGCCTATTTAAGAGCCAGGAAACCTAAACTAGGGATATGCAGTTCTACGTGTACATTGCACCGTGCCACTGGAGCACAAGCAGCTCGATGCTGAGCTGTTTTGAAAAGCTTGGCTTAAGCATTTCAGAGTGGGGCAGATCTTTCCCCCCCATCTGCACTGTGCCTGATCCAATGCACAGCACCAGCCACCAGCCTCGCTGCCTGATGACTGGTAACAGCTTCTGGAGCAATGACAGAAGATACAGACCACTCAAAGGCAGCTGAACACTCCCGATACTGATCCACAGGATACCTCAACAGTGACAAGCACAGAGCACATGTGGTTACAACAAAGGCACGGCCTGTCCTCCTTCTCCATCAAAGCAGAAGGTGGTAACTTGGCAGTACAACAGATTGCAGCTCAGTTGCTCAGGTTTTCCATCAGTTCAGATGGGAAACAAGATGTTACACCAGTAAGAAGAGCTGCTCTTCCCCATGTCCCTTCTACATTTGCTTAAACACTGTTCTCCTACTCTTCAAAGGCATAAAAAGCTGGTGGGGAAGGATGCTTAGGAAGGAGGAAAGACAAAAAACTCTGCAGGAGGCTATTCATCCCCTTCCCACTTCCTCCATTAGGGAACTGGTTACAGGAACTCATGTCCCATTTGAACCAACCAAGGGAACAAGGAAATCTTGCACAAAGATCTGGAGAAACAGAGAAAACTTGAGTGTTGATCCCTGGTTTAAACACAACTGTTAGTGGTCATGGTCCATGGCCATGTCTGCAGCTCCTGGCTGGCACCAGATGTGCTGTGGCACCAGATGTGCTGTGGCACCAGATGTGCTGTGGCTGCTGCACGTGTCTTTGCTGTGAAATCCTACCACATTTACAGAGATCTGCACGCCAGGGAAATGGAATCAATTCCTCTTTTTCCACAAGGTCTAGATTCAATTCCTGCAGCACATGAACTTTAAAGAGGCTTTTCAAAGCCAGAACCTATCAGCTGATAATGTCTTATGCCATCAAATTAACCTGATGCAAATGTTTTCTGCTGAGTGGACTGATTCAGCCTGAGGACATTTGGTTTGGTGTCCTCTGAGCAGGTCCCCTGGGAGGATGTGGGGTGGTGCTGGTCGGGACACCATGGGGATGTGCTGTGGTTTGGTGAAGCACCTTCTTGCATCTCTTCCCCAAAGCTGTGTTTCCATACAGCTCAGAGGTGTGATGATGGAGCTGCTCGCTATCCACACACCCAAAGTAACACAGTGCCCAGCATCACGGCCCCAAGTCACCCCAAGTCACCTCCTGTCCTTCAGCAGCCATGGAGGGACCCGAAAGGGCTCTAAGCACAGCGTTATCCCACTCCTCCCAGCACAGCCCTTTGAGGGCAGGTTGGGGAATGAGCTGTGCTGCCCCAGCCTTGCTACAGAAATGAAAAGGTGCATTTACAGCAACACCAGAATGGTATTTCCAGAGGGGATGGAGCAGCAGAATGGGGTTTGGAAGCCCCGAGGGACTTCTCCTCCTCTCAGTTTGCTAACTGCAGCTCCCGAGTGCCCACCTCCCCGGGGAGGGATGTCCGCCCGGGCTGGGGCAGGCACTGATGCTGCAGCACATCACCTTCCAGTGTCACCAGCCCCATCAACCTCGCTGAGAACAGCAACAAGAAGGGCCGGGGAGGGATCTATCCCCCATGGCACGGGGCGCCCTGGCACATGCCGGGAGCCGTGGTGGGGTGAGATGAGCCACGTCACTTTCCACCTGTCCCACGCTGCCAGCCCCAAACACGGGCTGCAAATGGCCATGGGGCAAGGGGCCGGGCTGCGACGGGAGCTGGGGCTGGCGGCTGTGCCTGCTGGGGCCTGCCACCGACAAGGCAGGGGGA